GCAACAGAAAAAGAAAAGAAAACCTCTATCTGAAAAAAGTGTATAGCAAAAAGATAAGCTGAAAGAGCTACTCATTTTGTATGAAACTACAGAATAAATCTACATTCACCAACACGAGCTGGAAACAACTTTGCTGCAGAAGACAGGGGGAAGGAGAGCGTTCCTGGGAGGCCAGCTCTGGCAGCCCTTTTTCAGGCAACCTTTTTACCGCGGCAGAGCTGAAAGCCAGGATCAACTTGGATTAGGATCCAAAGCCTGGAGCTGCCTGCTGGAAGCAGGGTCTGGACAAGACATCCAGCAATGTCCCTCTGACCCGAGGTGCCCCGCGATCATAGCGCTGTCCCACACACACTGGGCACCTGCAGGAATATATATGCTATTTAACGCCACGTGGTCAGTCTCCTCTCCCAGCCACCGACCTGAGCAACCTTGGCTGCTGCTGCGGGAAGGTTCGATTTTCCGGTGTGAACAACACGAGCTCTGTGAACATGCTTCACGCCAGCCCACAGCTGAAGGCATGCCTGTACAGTCCTTTGCAGGCAGACATGAACTCAGCCGAGGAGAAGCTGAGGGATGTGTCCTGCCCCTCTGTTACAGCAAGAACCAGCCGAAACACTCGTTGCCTGTGGAGGACTCTGGATGCATTCCCCGCATGCTTCCTTGCACACGTAATGCAGCGGTGGCACAGACTCATCACAGCACCTCATGCAACAGCAAGGAAAGGATGGGAGCAGCCCCAACTCCCTCGATGGAAATCCAGCACAGGCTCTCTCACTCCGCAGCTCCCTGCGACAATCCGGTTTTGAGGCTGTACGAGCCAGAGAGGGCAAGAGCCCTGCGGCAGGGTGCTCCATGGGAACCTCTCTCTAGCTGTCTGACATCTCTGGAATTTCATGTGTGTGGGAGACCGATGCTTTTTGGCTTCACAAAGGAATCTGAACATCTAAACAAAGTGGTGCCTCCACAACCCTGACCCCACGGGCCCTGGTCAGCCCGCAAGCCGAGACCAGCGACTAGGCATGTATCCGAGAAGCCTGCGGTTCTCACTGACACTGTTCTCCCCCAGCCCTCTGAAAATCTCCACTGTCACCCCATTTTGGAGGGTGCTGATTCCCCGTCTGGCTCCACCTTTCGCATCCAAATGTCACAAGTCAGAGGTGAGCGGGGCCACTTACGCCAGAGAAGAGGCTTTGGAAGGAAAGCACATGGCTGGGACTGAGGATTTTTTTTTTTCCTCACTTGAGCTGCTCTGGGAGAAGAGACGGGCTTCTCCTACCCATCTGACATTTTTACGAAACATGAATAGAAATGCAAAGCTTCAGGTATAAACCCAGAGCTCGCTGCAGCTATACAGATGTGGGGAAGGGGAGAAACAAGCAGGCTGTGCCTGAACGCACAGGCCCCACCTCATCAAAACACAAATATGGGACAGGACAACATTATTTCTAAGGGTTGCAGCTAATTTGAAACAAGCAGGGCAGCGTCTCCCATCCACAGCCTGAAATGGGCCCAGGACACTTTCTGAATAATCAAAGTTAATCACATAGATGTGCCCCTACCCCACACAGGCGGGGCGGAAACAGCGTGCCCATGCCCTGCACATCTCCCACAGTCCCATGGCCTCCCAGATTCCTCCTCTTAATTGCACAACCCAGGAAAAGCCAATTCAGCATCATGCCATTTCTTCCCCTCCCAACCTCCGAGCCAAAGGAGCACGAGAAGGAAAGGAGACAAGCATGACCGTCGCTCCTGCAGACAGACAAACAGCCCAGTCCCTGGAGCACTTCGTTTGCACGGTGGTGCCTCGAGACGACTGGACTGGGGACAGCGGGGGCACCCGGAGACAGGGCTGCGTCTCTCCCTGCAGCTGGCGACAGCACTAGTATTCTGCTACAGAAGATAATATTTAGGGAGCTTTTGGCCTTCCAGCAACACTGGAGACTGGCTGACAGCTGCCACCGCAGCACTGACGACGAGCCCTGACACCATGCTGGCCTCCTGAAAGAGAGTTATTCTTCAGGCTTTCATTTGTTTTGCTGATGCAGAGGGCACACACGGCTTCAGCATTTGCCAGCTCACGTCCTTCCACCCACCGCCTCGGCGCTTGCTGTGATTACGAGCAGTTAAGAGCAGCTCTGGAGCTCCCACGCAGAACAACATGTTGCATCTCTGCTGCAAGAGGAAGAGACACTCCAGATTCACCGAGAGCAACAGCATCACAGCGATGAAGCGCTGGGGGGGGAGGGGGGGGGGGGTGGAACATACAAA